CGGACATTAATACGACCGAGTAGGTCCAGAGGTATTTCACGAGAAGAGTACTCAACTTCTCTGCTCACAATAGAATTCATTATGCCACCAGGCTTGAAATATTGGACTTGGACAATCTGGAACTGGGCTGCCTGTGGTTGGACTTAAGCATAGTACACAAAATTGTCTGCTACAATGTCCTACCTGTCAACGATTACTTCAACTTCAACCGCAATAATACACTGGCAAACAATCGATACAAACTCACGGTAAACTGCTCCAAACTCGACTGCAGAAAATATGACTTCAGCAACAGAGTGCTCAACACCTGGAATGCTCTACCTGGCTTCGTTATTACATCCTCAAACCCTCACAGCTTCAACCTTAAACTGTCTGCCATGGACCTCACCCCATTCCTAAGAGGTCAGTAAAGGGGGCATGCATAAGCGCACCAGCATGCCTACAGTTCCTATCCTACTGTCCTCATTTATTTGTATTCATTTCCTTTGTTCATGCCCATGTTCATACTTATACCTGCTATCCTGTACATGTTTGACAAACTAATAAATAAATAAAATAAATAAATAGAACCTTGGACTTCAGTTTTGTGCTGAATGTTAGGAAGAGGTTTTGTTTGGCTTTTTAAGCAGTTCACCGTTAGTAGAGTAATGCAGAAATAACTTGTCTTTTGCATGTGAGCCTACTGTATACTTCTAATCTTAGCTTAATTTGGAAGTTTACTCGGGATGTTGGAGTCCTGTCCAATGTTCATCTTTCTTAGGATGATATTTGTTTGACTTATTAAGACAGTCTCCCTTTACCACCCCACTACCTCCCAGTACATGGCATCACAGCTGTCACAGCACATGCATTGTGGTTTTCTACTGCTGAGATAAATTTCCTACCTTTTCCTGGTGATGATGTTTTTAAAACTGAAGACTTTAGGATCAAGAGTGAAGAAACATAAAGATCTTTTGGGGCCAAACGTGATTGAAACACCTGCAAAGGAAGGTGACAAATGAATTGCTGGGAATGTAAACAGTGAGTTACACTGCTTTGATCATTTCTCTACTTAACATTTCTTCCAGCGTCATTTCATTCAGTCATTCTTGAGGCATAAGGACTGCCCTTATGACTCTTATCAGCACAAGAAGAGTTGGGATTCTAGAATAGGGGTCTCAAATAATCATATCAGAACAGGTTGATTGGTCCAGAGGCCCGAACACATTACATGCATTGGTAAAAAAATCTGTAGGGAGTAAAAACTGAGGAAAATAAAAAATATTATATTTGTTTATATATCAAATTTGGAGACCACCCATTTCTCTCTCATGGAATGACTCTGGGTAGTGTACAATAAAAACATTAAAACCCTATAAATATTATATTCTAGTAGGAAGCAGTTAAGATTTATAATGATTAGTTATTAGTCATTAAAACTAAAAGTATTAATTTAAAAACAAAACAAAACCCTCCCTGTGAATCAGAGATATTTTACTTTATCCACTTAGCAATATTCATTCATGAAAACACCATTATTTTTTATTTTACTGCTCGGTTGATATGTAATATTTTTTTCAAGCTTTTATCTAAGATTTAAATTGTCTAGGAAATTCGCCCCCCCCCCCAAAAAAACCTACCCAAACCCTGCTGTTTTTTTCCTTCTTCTCATTTTCTTAAGTAGAAACACAATTATATTCTTGTTTGGTCTCCCTTTTCTCTCTCCTTCACGCCCATTCTTCTCCTGCTTTAGTTGCTTGCTTAATATTTTCCCCACTCCTTCCTTGGTAAAAAGACCATTATGGCAGATCCATCCCACATCGCTGATTGCCTCCTCCTTCTCTCCTATGAACATCTCACAACCATTTCCTGTTCTGGATAGGGAGGCTTTTTGCTTGCTCACTCATGTCCTAATAATCTCCCATTTGGACTATTGCCATTGTACTCTACATGGAGCTGCCCTTGAAAACTATCTGGAAGATTCAACTGGTACAAAATGAGGTGATGCAAACAATTATGGATAACCAAAGAATGGTGCATATATCAACTCTTCAGCGTTTGGTGCCACTTTGCTTCCAGGTCCAATCCAAGGTGTAGGTTATGATCTTTAAAGCCCTCTATAGCATGGGGCCAGATTACCTATGGAACCATCTTCATCCCATTACATCAGCCTGTCTGGCCCTGTCAGGCAAGGAAGGTAGATTGCAAACTCCATCAATTAAAGAATTTTAAGTGGTGGAATTCAGGAAGAAAGCCTTCTCTGACATTGCGCCCATCCTGTAGCATCTTCTTCCCCCAAAGGTGAGACAGGTTCCATTCATTTGACCTTCTGGAAAGGTTGAAAACATGGCTCTGCCATCTTGCTTGGGGTTCACTGAGGAGCAGGCAGTTAGGGGGCTGATTAACACTTTAAAGTCACCCATCTTTTAACTGATATTTAATGTCAAATTTTAACCATATTTGCCTGTATTTGAATTTTTTTAATATTAGCTTTTTATGCTTTTAAACTTTTTATTTGTACATTGCCCAGAGACCTTCGGTGAGGGAGATGTGCAGTTTCTAAATATGATGATAGATAGATAGATAGATAGATAAGTAGACAGACAGACAGACAGACAGACAGACAGATCTATCCATCAAGTCCGGTCACAGCATGTATATATGTAATGTGTGTGTGTGTGTGTGTGTGTGTGTGTGTGTGTGTGTGTGTGTTTCTGTGTGTGTGTCTATACACACACACACACACACACACACACACACACACACACACACACACACACACACACACACACACA